CTTTAAAAGCGGCCGTTAATACCTGCAGCAGGGATGTGGCTTCCTGCAGGGCCCTCGTGCCCTCTCAGCGGCATCTTAACTACCCTCTTCATCTAGAGCAAGTCTCCAGCCTGCCTCCCAGGCGTCAAGAGGAGCTCCATCATCTTAGCAGTGTCTTGCAGTCCTCCTCAAAGTAATTTATCTGACGAGAGCCTACAGAATCTTCCTCGTACGGAATCTTATTTTGTATTTTTGTTTCTGCAAGAGCTCTGCATTTTTTTTCTTTTTCTTTTTGAAAAAACGAGACCTCTGTATCTTTGTTTAATGACGGCGGTTCTGCAAACATTTATTAAACACTTTACTGTGCAATTCAAATATATTATAAACGACCTCGAAGTACTTCGGAGCTCATAAACTGTTTAATCAACGTCAGTAAAGCTGTCATGAATAAGGAGAGATGTATAGGTTCCGTAACTTGTTGCGTGAATACTTGAAGAATCCTGGCAAAGGTTCGTAATCATTCACGACGGGACGTAGGTCAGGTCTTTCACCTGAACGTATGTCAGCTGGCAACGTATGTCAGCTGAGAAAAGTCAGCTGGGAAGTGTCAGTTGGGAAATATTAGCTGGGAAATGTCAGCTGGGAAATTGACAGCAAACTCCGCAGATACAGCAGTGGAAGTCCATCGCCAGCAGACCGTCTATAGCAGAATAGTTTATGTCAACGACTCACATCTGTGGATCCCGCGTTCAAGTCCATGGTGGGACAGAGATGATTTGGTACATTTCCTTTCACCTCATGCCACTGTTCACGTGAGAGTAAGGAGGTAAATGGGAGTTAGACCACTTTGTTGGGTTGCATTCTGGGGGATCTCAATAATCCCAACAGTCTTCCGATAATTGTCAATTTGAAACCATACTTACGAGAGATGTAATGGAGATCCTTCTGCTCAAGTAGGAGCCTATGTAATGCAAATTGTGCTGCTCAAACGGTATCCTAATATTTCTAGTTGGTACCAAAATGTGATCATTCACATAGGCGAGGATCAGCATGGACTAGAATACTAAACCTAAGACTAGAAACCAAGCTAACGTTGATTGAAATAAGGGTAAAAGGGATTGCTGTGCGCATGCTGACTATTGACTAGAGATATTAATATTAATAGATATTGACTAGACCTAGAATCAGTTCACTTAACGATATAATCACTGGAGCACTAATTCGGGACAGAAGAGCCTCCAATAGCCACAGGTGAACCCATTGTGCGATAAAGGCCATCAATACATTCCATATAACATACACAATCACTGAGAGTGGTATCGACGAAATACATGCAGACTTTGTTATACAAGCCCCTTGAAAAGCTCTGCCAGCAGACTTTAAGATAATGGCTTTTGAAGGAAAAAAGTACTAATCCTCAGCTGCTACGTAACATTGCACAGATGCATATATAAGGAAACTTGGCATCCGACAGCTTCACTTACTTCACAGATAGATCAGTAGACCAGCAGGGACAAGAAACCGGAGCTGCAGTTAAAGCAGGAAACAGGAAACTAAAGCAGTAAATAGTTGGAGACTCTCAAATGGGTGTTCAACTTTACAGAGATGCTAGCCATTCAAAAGGCTTTGCAACATGATCTTTCTGAACACCTACAACATGTTATCATACATACAGATTCGAGAACTCCCATTGAAACCTTGTAAATGTCATATCATTAATGCAAACACTCAAACGTCAAGGCCGTCGGGTACTTATCAACTGGGTGCCAAGTCATGTAGGAATAGTATGAAATGACATTGAAGACGAAGCTGCAAAACTTGCAACTAAGAGAAGAAATGTAAACAGTTACATACCATAGAGTCTATCACAGATTAAGAAAGTAATTAGAAACAGAACAATGCAAAAGATGTACAGTGACCACAACACAGCAGTTGCAACATCAGGATCTGCGGGTTGGTACAAGAATTCAACCAACTACGAACCACTTATTTTGAAGAAAGGGAGCAGTAGAGCAACAGAAGTACACTTACATCGCATCAGGCTTGGATACCCATGTGCATGGCAAATAGGCTTACAGGTTCCGGAAAACGAGAGGAAATGTCAGCAATGTGGAGAAATGTCCGACAGACCACTGGAGCATATCTAACAATAATGCAGAGTTACTAACCTATTAAGATTTCAACTTTTCTTAGATTCAACAGAGCAGAAGAAGAAGTTGTTAAACACATGGAGCAAAATCTTACTGAAGCGACCATACGAGTCATAAATACACATACTCTGCCCAAGTAAAACAGAAACAAGCAATACTTAGTAGGCCAGCCAGAGGCTTAGGGCTCGCGCAGGAATATCCATGAAAAAAAATAACAACCGCTGCTAAAGAACGTCTTAAGGGCGACCAGCATCTGAAGGAAATTCACACTCATTATGAATTCCATCTTGAGTGTCACTCAAGGTCAAGCATCTTGAGAAGTGTGCCACGAGGACAAGTATCCTGACAAGTGTGTCACGAGGACAAGTATCCTGACGAGTGTGTCACGAGGACAAGTATCCTGACAAGTGTGTCACGAGGACAAGTATCCTGACAAGTGTGTCACGAGGACAAGTATCCTGACGAGTGTGTCACGAGGACAAGTATCCTGACGAGTGTGTCACGAGGACAAGTATCCTGACAAGTGTGTCACGAGGACAAGTTTCCTGACAAGTGTGTCACGAGGACAAGTATCCTAACAAGTGTCTTAGGAACGCAAGCATCTCGAAAAGTGTGCCTTAAAGAGCAACCATCTTGCCCTTTGACTTTCAGAGTCCTGAAGCGAATTCTAACGTCATTTTCTCAGAAGTCTTGGAACATAATTTCCACTTGAGAGCAAGACTTTCCCCTCCACTGAAGCGTCTCAGTCTTTACCTTAATTACTGCTTCAGAGGATCCCAAGCGTCAGTCTTTATGTATTATATTTTTCCCGACACTGGTAATTAATTTTTCCTATAAAAAATAAAAAAAATTATTTTATTTCCTTTTAAATTAATATATTTTATTTTAATTTTTGAAGGTTCAGATTAATTTTTCTTTGTTTTTGAAAAGGTTTAGGAATTAGTTTAAACATGTCATACTAGCCAACAGCATTATCAGTGGTGTAATTCCCTTTGAACTGTCATTAGTGTGTTGACCTTGGTATTGTCATTAGTGGCATCACCTTGGTACTGTCATTAGTGGCATGACTTTGGTATTGTCATTAGTGGCATGACCTTGGCACTGTCATTAGTGGCATGACCTTGACATTGTCATTATTGTCATGACCTTGGCACTGTCATTATTGTCATGACCTTGGTACTGTCATTAGTGTCATGACCTTGGTACTGTCATTAGTGGCATGACCTTGGCACTGTCATTAGTGGCATGACCTTGACACTGTCATTATTGTCATGACCTTGGCGCTGTCATTAGTGTCATGACCTTGGTACTGTCATTAGTGGCATGACCTTGTTACTGTCATTAGTGGCATGACCTTGACACTCTCATTATTGTCATGACCTTGGCACTTGCATTATTGTCATGACCTTGGCACTGTCATTATTGTCATGACCTTGGCGCTGTCATTAGTGTCATGACCTTGGTACTGTCATTAGTGGCATGACCTTGTTACTGTCATTAGTGGCATGACCTTGACACTGTCATTATTGTCATGACCTTGGCACTGTCATTATTGTCATGACCTTGGCGCTGTCATTAGTGTCATGACCTTGGTACTGTCATTAGTGGCATGACTTTGGTATTGTCATTAGTGGCATGACCTTGGCACTGTCATTAGTGGCATGACCTTGACACTGTCATTATTGTCATGACCTTGGCACTGTCATTATTGTCATGACCTTGGCGCTGTCATTAGTGTCATGACCTTGGTACTGTCATTAGTGGCATGACCTTGGCTCTGTCATTATTGTCATGACCTTGGCACTGTCATTAGTGGCATGACCTTGGCTCTGTCATTATTGTCATGACCTTGGCACTGTCATTATTGTCATGACCTTGGCACTGTCATTAGTGTCATGACCTTGGCACTGTCATTATTGTCATGACCTTGGCACTGTCATTATTGTCATGACCTTGGCACTGTCATGACCTTGGCACTGTCATTATTGTCATGACCTTGGCACTGTCATTAGTGTCATGACCTTGGCACTGTCATTAGTGTCATGACCTTGGCACTGTCATTAGTGTCATGACCTTGACACTGTCATAAGTGTTACGCGCTTAGGCACTGCCAATAGTGTCATGAACACCATCACCGTCACTATATCAACAACTCCAAAACAAGGCAACACCAGCACCACCTCAATAACACAAACACACTGACAAACACCACTAAGCAACACCATAACACAACATATAATCATTTGCAACACACTCGAAACCAAGGAGAAAACACCACTTGACGCCATCACTGAACAACACACTAGTTTAACGACAAAACTACAAAATACCAACACTCTAGCAAATTACAGCAACATCAAACACATAAACATAGGGTAATCACACTAACGTGTCTGCACCAATGACAACATCCGTAGGAGCAGTGATGAGGACTCGAACTTATGCGGAGGGTGTTGCCAGGCACACGCCCCAGACATTCGTAGATGACCAGCCGGGGAGAGCCGGCTTCGATATAAGCCTCAGGAAACCCTAATGTGTTCAGTAGAACTCCTGGTTGCAATCCTTTTGACCATATCGTGGTCTGGTTGTCTGGGACGTGGGCCTGGGAACCCCCCACCGCATAGGCTCGAACCCTCGTCACTGCTCATACGGATTTTCTCATCAAACACATAATCAACACAACAGAACACCAACCTCGCCATAGTACAGCACTTCAGCATCACTGTAACCAATACACCAACACATTCCTCCCCTGTCAC